CGGAGGACTTTATGTTGTTTGTATCTTTGGCTTGGGCTGCGTGGGCCTTTAGAAATTCGGTGGTGTTTGAAGAACCTTGGCAGAATCGTGATATTGGGGTGTTGGGTTTTGTTAAATTGGTGGGTGACTATGCGAAGTATGTTGGGGCTGTGTCTGTTGCTACCAGAAGAATTGCTACTGTCTCAAGAAACTCGTGGTGCCCCCCTGCTGCTGGCGCTGTTCGTGTTAATTCTGATGCAGCTGTGCGTGAAGGGTGGGGTGTGGGTTTGGGTGTTGTTTTAAGAGATGCTTAGGGTAAGCTCTTGGCTTTCAAGGTTTGCAGGCTGCCTTGTATGACTGATGTGTCTCTGGCCGAAGCTCTTGTTGCTAGGATGGGTGTTCTGCTGGCTAAAGAGCATGGGCATCTGATGGTTGAGCTTGAGTGTGATGCGTTGACAGTTGTGAAGGCTGTGAATGGTTCCCAGCGTGGACGTGCTCCTATTGACTTGATTTTTGATGATATTGATTTCCTGCGTGGATCTTTCTCTTCTTTCTCTTGTATGCACATTAAGAGGAGTGGAAATTGTGTGGCTCATTTAGCAGCTAGGATTAGTCCTTCTAATGGTGTTGAGCAAACCTTTGTATCTTCGTTTCCGCAAGGTTTAATTGCCTTGGCGGACATCGACTTTGGTTAAATTTATTCTAATCCTGCTCGCTGAGCATCCTTTCAAAAAAAAAAAGATAACTTAAAAGTACATTTATATCAAACTCTAAGACAATAAAATATGAATAGTTTAAGTTAAAAATTGAACTCCAAATTCACAAGAGTACAGTTAGCTAATTTAATATGGAACACATAATAATAAGTTTCAACCAATTTCCCAACATGGCTCATGATTTAGTGCTAGCTATTCAATTTTGATCCATTACATATAACCATAACAAAAATACGTACAACTATCGTATAGTAGATGATTTAATATATTTCAATACAAAGAAATATTACATACAATATAATTTGTTAATTAATATTAGTTGACCATTAAATGAAAATCGAAACATATTCAGATTAATTTCCTATCAAATCCTATTATAGTCTTAAAAGTAATTAACTCTGTATTAGTGTGGATTCATTCAAATTTATTTTCTCTTCTAACTAGTCGAGTCAATTCTAGATCAAAAATCGAAATAACTTGCCATCCCACTTTGACAAATTAGGGAGAAGAGAGAATGAATAGCTTTTGTATTGCTTCATTATTATTCATCAATAATAGGTTGAGTATTTATACAAAACCTATGCTCATAAGATAGGAAACAATCTTCCCAAAAGATATACCATATATCCTAATGATATATTCACTAAATAATATCTTAACATAATATCTACGAAAAATATATCACACATATATTTTCCGATAACACTTATCTCTAACACACTTGTATTAAAAGGTTAACTCTGAGCCTTTCGACTCATTCCTTAAACAAGTTAAGCCACCTAGGACTGGCCTGGATCCCACACGGAAGGCATAACATAATGAGGCCATAGTCCATAATATCTGATAATCATAACAAGTGAAAATTGAAAGGAAAGCATAATATAAAGAACACATACATCCCCACTAAATGGTGGTTGCTGTAACACATAGTACAGTGTATATCTTTTCAGAATCTATGAATTATTGTATATATATTATTTGAAAAAGACATAACAATGTATTGCTTATTTATGTTCATGATAAATTAGACTCAAAAGGCAGTCTTTTTTCGTTTAATTAAGTACATAATGATCTCTTTGTTTATCAGCCAAGAAGAATGAAGGGCATACTTGATTGGTTTAAATTAGATTGAGATCTAAGCCTACTTGCAATCATAAATTTTCATTAAGAAGGTTAACTTTGCGATAAATTTAGAGCAGATTCTTTAAAATCTTGAATTTATCATGTTCATATGCTCAAAATTTTTAATTTCCACGTACCAACAAAAGAATGGCAAGTGTGGTACGGTTTAATTTTAAGACAATGATGATTTGTTTCAGACACATAAATGATAAAGTCATCGCAAACTCGTTTTATTTAATTTGTGTCTCGTGCGACAGGCTGTAGTTTATGCATTAATTTTATTTTTGTATGGAGCTTACTTAATTAAATTAAAAATGAATGAATAAATTCTAAATAGTTAGAGGGACAACATGACTCACCATGCTTTTTTCTTGATTTCAATCATGTGTTATGCATCAAAAACAGATTGCAAGAATCTTCCTTTCACCTTTAATTCTTTCTCTACTAAATTCATGAACTAACTCACTATTCTTGTTGTACCAAATAGTCTAATCTCACAATCAGGTGCATTGACTTAATCTTGTAATGACCACTATATAGTTGCAAAACTTTCTCCACATATAACTCTGCTTTTACCTCAAATAATTCAAAAAAGTCAACTCCATCAAAGTATATATGGTCACTATCTATCACATATTCACATATGATAGCTTGACAAGGTGTTGAGGTGAGTTCCCACACTAAAATAAACCATTGTATTCTGGGTTGTAAATTTCCACCCTAGCCAATTTAAGTACTTAACTAGTCACATTGAACAATGTGGTCGATAAATGGATCATGACTTAGATTATAGATTTGACCTAAATACGACTTAAATTAGATATAGATTGGTTGAACGATGAATTAGTTATATATGAATATATTTCTCAATATAATACGAAATATTTCTTCATTATTAATGTATGGATCGAATGATAGATGTTAAAAAAAGGTTTATGTAAGGTGTAAGGGAAAAAATTTATAGGCAGATAGAGCAAAGTCTCATGAGGGCATAGCTATTTAACTAAGCTCATTTTCCATGTTGACACTTAAACAAATATACCATATAGGATAAATTATGTTTGTCACTTACGTATTTTACTGCTGTACGCTTTATAAGTACTAGCATAATGCATGCTAGGTCTTGCATTAGACGCGCGGCCATACCACCCTACTAGGCTACGTTACTAAACATTGACCTAAATAAAGAAAGTGGCTAGATGTTAATTAGATCAAGCATGTAGGTATTGAAAATTTGAATTGGATTGGACACAGCTAAGGTTGAGGTATTGAACACTCCACATGCTGACTTATTGTTAACGTGTTTAAAAAGGATGATGATGATTGCCTTATGATCCAAGCTGAACATACCATATAGTCATTTATAAGAGAACAAAGTAACCCTTATAATACTAGCTGAGTAATCCCCAATAACATTAATTGAATAACCCCTATTACACTGACCAAGTAATCCATATAATACTAACAAAGTAACTTCTACAATGGTTGGTCGAATGGTGTGCTCAACTACATATAAAAATTTGTGTTATACTTTGTATGTATTTTGATAAGTAGCCTAAGGCATATTCTTTAAACTATGAACATACTTTTACAAGGCATTTTTATTTTATTTTTATTTTTAGAATGAAACACGCTTAGAGATAAGACTACACTTGCTGATAAATTACGAATTATCACCCCACTTTCATGTAATAATTATATAATTAGTATGATAATTCATATTTATATGTGGTCTATGTGTTTTTGGACGGCTATACCCCGCAAAATTGTAAATATAATTATAAGATCGAGTAGCACTAAATAAATATTCTTATCCTATTATCCAGCTGATCACCATGCCACCATCCATGAACCATGCCACCCACCCAACCGATAACATCTAACCCATTTTATGTCTTTCGGTTGACCCGTCAAATTCTAACTCCGTGTTTGGTTGGGCCCATTTTCATTATACTATAATACCTACTTATTTTTCTTTTCCTTTTGAGGAATAATGCCCACTTAATCTTGATTTACACACGTGTACGGTTTGATCTTTACCATTTTGCTCATTCCTACACGTGTCATATTTCTAAGCAAGGCAAAATATTAGACTTATACGCCTTTGGTTTGACTATTTCAAAGACTAAAGGGGGATGTATAGATTAATCATGTTTACAAGTGTAAAGTACATATTTTCTTGTCAATTTACGAACAAATCTTCCACTTTCATTAATCCCGAATATAAAGAGAAAAAAATGAAGATCATTGAGATAATATATTTAATTCTTTTTTGAATGAATATATTTGAATTGAATGGCAAAAACATGAACTATTCAGAGTATGAGTGTATTTGAATCACCCATTTAACGTAAAATTAACATTGTAAATCGATGGTTTTTATGAAGTTGATACTAATTTATCCTCTTATTGTTTTGTAGAATACATTTGTTATACACATGTACACAAAACGTGCTAGATTAGACATAGATCTTGTGTTAGAATATAATTAACAAATCAATTTTTATTTCGAGTTTGACGATGTCTTAAAGAGACATAAGTTAGCTCCTTAATTACTCTCACAAGTTGAACGAACACTAAGGAGCATGTATTGTTTCAGTACATCATAGACTAGGTAAGTAAATCAAGAGTTGTTTTTTTTAATAAACAGTTTAAACACAAAAAAGCCAAGGAACCTTCATCGAAATAGTTTATTAGCCTAATCCTTGTACATAATTAATAACCTAAAGCTAGTAGATAAAGGGCATGTTCGGCAAAATATAGCTGTGAAGGTAGCTGTAGTTATGGAGATAGCTGTTAGCTGTCAACAAGCTGTTAGTTGTGAAAAAAGATAATTTACACCATGATTGTTCGGTAAAGTAGTGGTTGACTAGCTGTTACATTTAAGAATCAATATTTTATTTTTTAAACTATACATTAAATTTCCAAAAGCTACTTCAAAAGATACCTCTAACTTCAAAAGCTAATAATCCTAACTTTTAATAAAAGCTACCTCCACCACTAAAAACTACTTGAACCATTACTTTGCCAAACACTCACATTTTTTGTTGAGTAGTGGTTTGACTTGGTCAAACCACTAAAAGTTACCTAAAAGCTACTCAAAAGCTAGCGCCGAACACGCCCAAACTCAAAAAACTTAACATTATATATAAAAAGAAAATAATTAAGTATTATACAAAGTACTTAAATAATAAGTTAAACGTTCCCAAAGATACACATATCCTTGTCAACTACAAACATAGCACGAAAATAAGATATATGTATAGGATCTACAAAATCAAAACTTTATTATAACTTTTGCGCACTATATATTCATCTTCCAACACAACCACAATTCCACATCCAACTCTATCCTCATCTCCCACAACAATATTACATACATTCTCTATTTTCTTTTGCAAGAACAAAAATATTAAACATGTTTCCTTCAACTTCTTTTTCTACTATTCCTCAAGAAATCATAACCAATCTTCATTATTCTAGAAGATTACTACTCCACTCTTCACCACCAACAATTGAAGCACCAACACCAACCTACCAAGTCCTAGACCCGAACTCAGGCCATGGCAACACCGGCTTTGATGCTAACATAGTCATGATCCTTGCGGTATTGGTATGCGCGTTGATATGCTCTTTATGCATAAATACCGTGATAAGGTGTGTGATCAAGTGCTCAAGTATTATTACTGGCGAGCCTAATTATTACTTGAACATAATTAGTCATGATCAAAAGAAGAAAAAATGTAACGGTTTAGACAAAAGGGCATTAAAGACATTTCCAGTGGTGAAGTACCCAAAGGAGGTGGAAATTCAAGGGTTAGGCACTGAGTGTGTGATATGTTTGTCAGAGTTTAAGGGTGGTGAAAAAGTTAGGATATTACCAAAATGCCATCATGGTTTTCATGTTAAGTGTATTGATAAATGGCTTGGTTCAAACTCTTCTTGCCCTACTTGTAGGCAATCTTTAGTTGAAACTTGTAACAAGATTATTGGTTGTGGTAATGATCATCATCAAAGTACCTCTACGTCGGAATCATCATCGTTGTCAACAACAACGACGACGACAACAACAACAACAAGTGACATGGTTGTAGTGAGTATTGTGCCACTTGAAAGGGAAGATTTGGTAAGAAATTACAGAAGTGAAGTTGCTCAAAGCTAGCCAAATTCTAGCTTAGTAGTATATTGTAGGTTTTTCTTAATTTAAAGATTAGAGTAAAAAAATTACGGAAATTTTAGCAATTATAAGATTAATTGGTTTAGTTGTGCACAACTGCACATGATAGATATTACATACAAGTTATTACGAGCGGTTCCTAATTGTTCATCTTGCAAGTGTATAAACAAAAGAGCAATAATTAACAATTCCCTGCTTTGGCCATTTATTAATTTGTTTTGTCCTTGATCCCCTTTAAATTATTGCCAATATTATTGGATTGATTCTTTTTTCAAGGCCAATTTCAATTATTAAGTAAGTCCAATTATTATAACTTGAATTTTTTTGTTCTCCTTTATATAGATTTCACCAAAGTATGTTGTTTTGGGTAGATAATTCGATCAGTAAATTAATACACACTCCAAACCCATGGTCAAGCTAATAAGCAGGTTCTATTATGTATGTGACAGATAAAAAATTTGTTGTGTCTTAATTATGGCATACACATTAACACATATAGCAAGCTCACTTAATAGCTAACACCATTGCTAATGTTATACTCCGTATAACTTAAAAAAAAAAAAAAAAAAAAAAAACCCTCCCATCAAAAGAAAACTACTGATTTATTTGAAAATTGAAAACATATTGAAAAATCACATGTTATTTGTGTCAATATAAACTCTATAAAATTTTATCAAAGTTGATCAAATAATCCATCCGGACCCTTACATGAAAATGCAAATGGTTTCTAAGATATCTAAACTTCCATTTTTCTAATATAACGGGTTTATTTATTTATTTTTATTTTTTGAAAGAATGTAATGGGTTTATTTTAATAATCTTATTTTTATCGAATTAAAAAAAATTACTTAAAATTTAATTTAGGGGCAATTTTGCCAGCTAGGACAGGCTTTCACGGGGCCCAATCTTATGGGCTTAAAACAGTATTTCTCCACTTAAGTTAGTCAACAAAACAATGTGAATTAGCTAGCTGTTTGAAACTCTTTAATTTCAATCCTTTTTTCTTATGATCCTCACATCCACAATCAGATTAATTATATGTAATAGATCAACCTAAGGAAGGGTAGTATAGGTATTCTACTAATATTAGCTCACTAGGTTAATAGTCCTTGGTATAAATAGAGAAGGAAAGGAAATAGGTAGACAAAAATTGGATGAAACTTGTTGACAGTTGTGATTTCAAGTCACTCCTTGGAGAGTTGTGAGCTAAACTCACTTTTGAAGATTGATAGCCTTAAGCTATTATCCTATCTTTTGTTACCATTCAACCATTATCAATCAAAATCCATGATTTAATCTTTATTTACTAGTATTATTAAATCAGATTATAATCCCAGAAAGTCAGTCCATTACATTATACTCCCTCCTTGTTTTAATAAATGTTACATTTTGATTTTTTTTCACTATTCATTTAATGGTTTTGACTTGATTAATTTACTAATATATAAAAAACAAATGTTATTGTATAATATACATTGTTGGATTCATTATAATGCATGTATACTTTCATAATACGTAGTATCAATTTTCCCATCATTTTACTAATATATAATTAAATAAATTGATGGTCAAAGTCATGCCTCGACATGTATATTTAGTCAAATTATAACACTTTTTTACATACGACAATATAATATTTACTATCCATGAACGGATAAATTTGTTTGATATCGACAATAATATGTACGAGCAATCTTACCAAGAAAAGAATCGTGCTTTTGGGAACCGGCAGATTTGATGTCTTTAATTTTCTTCCAAACACCAACCAAAACTTTGTAACTATAATCTTGTATAATCGTACTTGTTTGAATTGTTTAATGTTTCTTTAAGAGGGTGGTAAATTGCACTACTAGCTCTCTTTTCATGGCTAAATTTAATCATTTAATTAAGTAAATCAACAATTGAAGCTTAATAGTTTATCCAGTACTTTTATCACTTTAAGATGGTTGATATATAAATATCTTGTGTTAAGGTGTATTAGTGCAAGATATTAATAAGCTGCATGCTCTTGATATATAAATATCTTATGATATTGATCGAGTACAAGTGCAAGATATTAAGCTACTAATATAACTTTTACGTACCACACAAATAGTAGATAAAATCATGTACATATATTTGTTAAATATAAGATCTTAAAAACTTTACTAGAATGGAGTTAATGGACAAGCTAAATGAAGAAAAGAGAAGCACGTTTTTGAGGGAAGACTGAGCTTTATTAAAACTACTAATTTTGAATATAAATGCCTTTATAAGTAATTTGTAAAATATGCGTATGATAAAATGGCCAATAATTTCGTTTTGTTCATCTTGCTTGTTTTTAGGTATGTACTGATGACTTGGGTTCAAATTGGGTTAATTTCATTTTGGATTAGTTTAAGTCATTCTATTTCAAGTACAATTCAAAATTGGTCAAACAAATTTCAACTTGGATTGACATTTGGTTCAATTCGGTTAAGGTTAAGTCAAGTCAATTTAGACCTTGACAGTACGTTTTGTCTTATATTAATAATAATAGTGGGTCAATTAATCATTCCAATCTCTAAATCTATACTAAATTTATAAGCTAAACCTCTAATTTGATTACGCGATAATGAATAGATATATTTTTTCCGATGAGGCAAATTATATAGCCTTCATTTCAGCATATACTCCAACACTTTTATCAAAGCAATATCCCATTAGTACCATCTGAAAATAATTAAAGACCCCCACTTAGCACTTTCTAAATATAAACTTGCATTGTTAATATATCCAAACACTTGAAAAGGACTAACAAGGTGCTTGCTTACAATATAGGACGTATTCTTAATTAATGTAATTAAGTATCCTATAAAAGAACACGCAAGTTGACAGGGTACAAGTAATCATTAATTATCCTATAAAAGAACACGCAAGTTGACAGGGTACAAGTAATTGTGATCCAGCTACTAATTGCATGGCTTAATATATGCAACGTCTTTTTGATTCGAATTTGTGGTGTAGGATGCAAGAATTAAATACGAGGTGATCTTTAATTTTACTTTAACTCTTAAACACCATATGTATAACCTAACATCTTATTGATTTATATCAACTTGAAACTTGCTAGGCTTGTCACTCACTTTCGTTTTAACCACTAGATTGAATTGAAACAATAACGGCAAGAAGCTTATCTTCACTTCTTTTTTAGATCATTGGATACGTTCAATTTCACATCATGTAATAAAGCTGATCTGACTTAATTTTGATCAATGACAATTTAAATTAGAAGTTAAACTAAAATTAACTTGAATTTTCAGATAAGTTAATAAAGAATCAAGGGGGAAAAAATAAAAAAAAAAAATTCAAATCTATACTATAGATAGACTTCTTACTTATACTTGGTATGCTTCTCTTTCTTTGGTCTTTCTTTCTTCGCTCCTTCAGTATTTTGTATTTTTTTAATAACATACATAACACAAGCTAAGTTTGGTCATGCTCTATTTACCTAATTTTTAGCCGAGCTTTAATTATTTTTACTGAATTGAAATTATTTTTACAGATTATTATTTTTATTATATGGTGAAGAAAACAAAACTTTAACAACACAATCCATTTAATTGCTTTACTGCTCCTTTCTACAAATTTAATTTTGTCAATTCTCAGTGTTAGTTTTAAGTGAAATAAAAAAGGCTAGAGACTTATTAATAAAACTTGTTTACCTCTTACATAAGTAGAATTTTACATTAACAATAACCTAGCTAGCTATAGAACGCCAAAGATCAACTCAAAAAATCATAACTTCCTACGAAGTACATAATATACTTCGTATGTATTATATACAAACTTGAAACTTCTATACGACCAACTATTATCCAACAAAGTACTTAATTACATAAAAAAGTATACAAAGTACTTAATTAAATAATAAGGTAAAGAATGCCAAGGAATCAAGGATACACATATATGATATATCTACCTTGCTAACAACAAACATATAGAATGCAGATAAGATATACTTATATATGCTATATAGGATCTACAAAATCTATACTTTTTGTAACTTTAGGCCACTATATATTCATCTTCCAACACAACCACAATTCCACATCCAACTCTATCCACAATAACAATAATATTACTCTCTCTTTTTCTTTTACAAAGAAAAACATGTTTCCTTCAACTTCCTTCTCTTCTATTCCCCAAGAAATCACTACTAACCTTCATTATTCTAGAAGGTTACTACTTCACTCCCCATTCCACCCTTCACCATCTACAACAGAAGCACCAACACCAACCTACCAAGTCCTAGACCCGAGTTCAAGCCATGGCAACCCCGGGTTTGATTCTAACATAGTCATGATCCTCGCGGTCTTGGTGTGCGCTTTAATATGTTCATTTTGCATAAACACCGTCATAAGGTTTGTGATCAAGTGCTCATTTATGATTACCGGAGAGCCTAGTTATTACCTAAACATAATTAGTCATGATCAAAAGAAGAAAAGTTGCAATGGTTTAGACAAAAGGGCATTAAAGACATTTCCAGTGGTGAAGTACTCAACCGAGGTGCAAATTCAAGGGTTAGGCACTGAGTGTGTGATATGTTTATCAGAGTTTAAGGGTGGTGAAAAAGTTAGGATATTACCAAAATGCCATCATGGTTTTCATGTTAAGTGTATTGATAAATGGCTTGGTTCAAACTCCTCTTGCCCTACTTGTAGGCAATCTTTAGTTGAAACTTGTCAAAAGATCATTAGTGGTGACGATCATCAGACTACCTCATCTTCATTAAACACATCTTCTTCATCATTATCATCGTCGACATCAACAACAATAACATCATCGTCTAGGGAGATGGTTGTAGTGAGCATTGTGCCACTTGAAAGGGAAGATTTGGTGAGAAATTACAGGAGTGAAGTTGCTCAAAGCTAGCCAAATTTGTAGTTGGTTGATTTTGTAGATTTTTGTTAATTTAAAGAGTTTAAAATTAGGAAGATTTTAACAATTTTATGATAATTAACTTGTTAAAGTTGTGCACATGATAGATATTACAGACATATATTAACGATGAGTTCGTTGTTCTTAATTATTGAAAGTGTACAAACAATTAAAAGAGCAATAATGTACAATTCCATGCTTTGGCTATATAATTGTCCATAATAACCTCCGATCCTTTAAATAATTGTCAATAATATTGACTTATTCTTTTTCAAATAATAACTTGACTTTCCTGTTTCCATATCAATATTTCTAGTTACACCATTTATCAATGTAATTGTAATCTTCTCCTATGGTGAGTTCGTTGTAACATATGGAATTTTACTTGAATTGAATACGCGAATGACCTCACATATATTAATGCACTAAATTATCTAATTTTTTTTTTCATTCCCTGTTAAATAAATTTCTACAAAGTATGTTGTTTTGGGTAAATTATTTGAGCAATAATAATCCACACACTTTAATGGTCAAAATAAACAAGCTTTGTTACAACTGCACCTCTGGATCGAGGCTGTAATAAGTTATGATAATATGTACGAGTAAAATGTTAATTTAATTTAATGCTACAATAAGATATAAATTATGCTAAAGCATTGAAATTTTGTGGAATTGGACTATCAATGACATCAAATAGGTCATATAGGAAAATTTAGATTGTTGCTTAACATATACTAGTATCTCATTCCACCTAAAAGCTCTTATGTGTTATGGGTGTGGAGGTAGCTTAAAAGAGCTTCTAAGATCGAGATCATTAATTCATACTATTTTCTCAAATATACTAGCATTACTTTTTTTTTTTTTTTCCTTTGAAAATTACTAGCATTACTTAATCTAAGTAGACAAACAATAGTTTTTAAAACATCAATTAATCTCCATAAAAAAGAACCTATTCACATATATTAAAAAATATTTTGTTAAGAAAAAAGATATGCGAGTTGGAGCTAATTGTCTCATAATGCACAAGAAAGAACTATGACCAACTTTAATTCTTGTGAGCTGCTTCGCGTTTTATTAGCAGATTTTAAGATGAAATTTTGTTACGATTGTGTATTGCTAGATTGTTCAGGTGATTTTATTCAATTAACATTCAGAATACAATAAAATCTCATTATTTTTTCAAAATAATATCCAAAACGGGCTTCATTTTTTCATTTTTTTTCTTTTTTTGTTGGAAAGAACGTGCTTCATGTTTTGTAAAGGCTTTAAATTATATTTAAGGTCACTTTTGCCACTAGGACATATTTTTCCACTTAAGTTGGTCTACAAAATAATGTAAATCAGCTAGCTGTTGAAACCATACATCCACAATCAATAATTCTTTGTTAACGCTTTTCTATTTTTTAAATCAAAATAAAAAAAATTAAAAGTTAATATAATTTATCTTATACTCCGTATCTAAAAACTAAACTTGTGACAGAGTAAAAAAAAAAAAAAGTTAATAATACGTAAATAAGAAAATTTACTATCTGTAAACGAAGAAAGGTTTTTAATCCGATCCAATAAAATATTTAAGAGCAGTTGTACCAAGAATAGAATCGTGCTTTTGGGAACAGGCAGATTTGATGTCGTTAATTTTCTTCAAAACACCAATCAAAACGCGACGCTTTAACTATAATCTTGTTTAGTGATACTTGCATTGTTTGAATAGTTTAATGTTTGTTCAAGAGAGTTGTAAATTGCACTGTCTTGTCTTGGCTATGAATGAAGCTTAAAAGCTTAATCAGTACTTTAAGAGCGTTGATACATAAATATCTTTCTAATACGTTACGGTCCTTATTAGTGCAAGATATTAATTAAGCTGCTTTTGATATATAAATATCTTATGATGATATTGAGTATATTATTAGTGCAAGATATTAAGCAGCTGATCTGATAGGGCAGATAAAATCATATATAGATCTTACTACTCAAATTGAAGATAAAATCATGAATATATTTGTTTATAATAAGAAAGTAAGATTTAGAAGCGTTGATGATATAGATCTTACTACACTAAACTTTAGAACTTCTTGATGATCGAGTTTACAATGCGTTAGCCTTTAAACTAATTTGTAAACATAAATTTAAATTATAGATTCCAGGTATACTATAGGATCTCCTGGAATCGGGAGGAAAACTCTAACCACTTGAGCTATCCCTCACTCTCACGAGCTTGATCAATTTCATTTCAAATTAGTTTGGGTCGTCGTCATCATCTTGTTTTGCTACAATTGAAGTTTGGTCATACCAGTTTTAATTTTAGCCGCTTTTTGATTTATGTGAAAATAGGTTTGGGTCATTTTCGATTATATCAAGATAAGTCAAGTCAATTTAGATTGGGTCAAATTAAATTTTCATGTGTGATTGTATGTGGTTTTTGGAGTTTTTTTCTTGCCGACCAAGGTCATTTTTCAAAAAAACTATTGTAGTGTATTTTATAAGCCTCAAATATAACTGATGTAATTACTGGAGAATGAATAGATATATAATTTCGTTGTTGCAAATTAGATGGCCTTCATTTTCTCGTATATGTTTGCACTTCAACACTACGTATAGAATTAAAAACTCTTTTGTAAAAGCAATAAAACTCCCACTTAATTAGTAGTACTTAATATGAAAATAAACTTATTAATAAAACCAAACACTTGAAAAGGACTAACAATGCAAGATGCTTGCTTACAATATAAAGAGTATACGTATCTAGCTTTATATTAAATCAATAGCAAGTATCCTTAATTATTGTAATTAAGTATATGTCTTAATTAGAAATTAAAAATAGCCTAGTTGACAGGGTACAACCGTATAAGTAATTGAATTGTGAGATCCAGCTACTAATTACATGGCTTAATGCAACGTCTTTTTGAATTGAACTTGTGGTATAGAATGCTAAGCTACCAAATTGAAAAAGGAGGTAGTATTTTGCTTTTACTCTTATAATTATAAACGTACATCTTGTTTAGTAACCTAATATCATACAAGGAATTTAAAAAACTGAAAAGATAAAGTCACTAAGCCTAAGGTGATCAGTGTTCTGGAGAATGCCCCACTTTCTCATGGTGAGAAACAAAATTTGTTTTTCACATGGTATTTTCGTAAATATACCCACAACTTTATTCAACTGTGGAGCCCATAATAATGAAAAAGTTGTTGGTATATTCACAAAAATTGCTCCCATGAGAAACAAATTTCGTTTCTCACCATGAGAAACAGGGAATTTTCCATGTGGGTTTCAAAGATTCGATTGCAGCTCATACATGAGCACGTATGCTTCTGAAAGGGCAACCATCTCAGCTTTTGTTTCTGAAACATGCAAATCTTGGACCTCATACCTGCAATTATTAAAATATCCAACACAAGAAAGTGAAAAACTGTCAAAAATTAAGAATACTACTCGTTAAGTTTCAAATGTAAATTAAGCAAAAATTCACAAAAAAAAAACAAGATAATAATGTAATGTAAGAAAATTACCATTGATCCTCCGACTTTCTTTGAACGCAGACTTTATACGATCCTTGGATAGGCGTGCCTTGATGGACAATATTAGCCATTAAATCATATTTTGACCTCAATTTCTCGGCATCTTTCAGAGCAATGTAATCCTTCATCTCAAGGTTTTTCACTGGAAAATTAACTACATACGAGAATTTTTTTTGAATCAGGCTACTTTGCACTAAAAAAATGGAAGAAGAAAATGATTTGTAAATATCAATAACAAGATAAGATCATATACCAATGGTAGGATTCTTTTCAACAAAGTTGTTGCTTTTGGTAAATCGTCGTATGTGCATAATAACGTAAGGTGGTAGTTTTGTGACACGATACTGCATCTTAGCTAATTGAGGATGCACAACTTCTGTTATGGTCTCTCTATCAAACTTCTTCAATATATTGAAAAGTGGAACCTGCACATTATGAATGTATTTGGAAAAAATGCATCAAAAAACAAAATTTATACTAAATGGGAAACGACGTATATATTATTTGTTAAACGATCTTTTTTAACAAGTACTCGTTATTTCTAAATTGTCAACACAATATAAGCACAGATAACATAAATCAAAGGCTTTGAGCAAGAAATATATGCATTGGATATGTACCTGAGGGATTATATTTTTCGCCAAGGCATCTTTAAAGAGTGGCGGAGGTGGCAAATCTAAGTCAAGCATTATAAATGGCACTGTGAATGTCTCTATTTCAGATGCACCATCATCAGCAGCTGCAACACCATATTCTCTTATACCTTTACTTTGGATCTCCTTGACAACTTCCAATTCTCCCTGTACATACGTTGTAAAAATTAGGTTAAATTAAGTTAAATTCCATGTTGCTCAAACCCTTCATTTTACCTTATATATATACAAAAATTACCCCTTTTGTGACTCTGTCCTATATTATAGGCTACATTTGACCAAAAAAATGAGAGAGTTATTTTGGTCAAATGTAGCAGATATTAAAAAAGACGGAGGGAGTAATTCCTTAAAAACTACTTGGAGATTTTACATTAATTAATCGAGTTTACACTTGAACATTTATCTAGTACCCATACCCAAGGGAGAGTTTGGCAAGTTAGATGTACTATGACAATATATACTACCATAGTAACATCATAGCATGCAATAGTACCAATTAGATGTATCGCGACAAAACATAATACTAGCATAATGCAATTGTATCAAGTTTGTACATAAATAAAAAGATAGAGATATTACTTGAAAGCATTGGGTAATGATGCTTGTATTGTTGTTTGAACTTGTGAGATGCAAATGTAGAGTATCAAGGAGCCAAGACATAAACTCAACTGGGTCAGATTGTACATCCATTTGAAATCGATTATCACTATCTTTTATCACAGCTTGTAAAAATTCATGGGGGTTCACCTGCAATAATAATAATTTAATTAAATTATACTCATTAGTTTGATGAGTACTCATAAATCAAATATTGAAATAACCAAAATCTACTGAAGTTTTTGAAATTAAAATATGCTAATATATATATATATATATAATATACCTGTCTTTTAAAATTTTTTGGATGCCAAATTTTTCGAATGAGCTCTCCGAAACGGTGAACTAGGGAAGATTTACAACGTTTGTAGTTCTCTGGGACTAGAAAAAAGTTTCTCAAAGGTGTAACACGTACAAGTGCTTGAATCACAACGTTGGCAAAATCAGCTTCCTTCAACTTATTAAGTCCTACCTGAAAAAAAATATATTTTTAAACTATTACATAAAACACTTAACTCGTTATCTAGAGGTACTAGAAAATTAAACAAGATAGAAAAAAAAGTATTAATTCTTCCTTGTTTTTTTTTAATAAACTGAGAAAGTAATATTTAGGTGAAGTTAAAGAATATACCAATCCAGGGAGGTAAAAAGAACAATTAAGAGCTCTCGACCACAACTTGCTTTTATCTAGCTGTTCAATCTGTTCCGAAGTAAACCTGATTTTACAAATACAAAATATCAAAGATAAATCACCAACAAAGATGCCCGGCGTGCCGATCCCCGTCCAACGAGAAGCTCCAGATGGATTCGCAGCTACCCCTTTTTGCGACGAGTTGGCCCTGGCTCGGATTCCCAGAAGATTGTCGCTCCCGACGTTTACGTCGCTGTATGACGGAACGACCTGTCCAGAGCAGCATGTCGAGTACTACAAGCAGCGAATGTGGCAAGCTCCGATCCCGTTCGAGTGGTGGGAAGCATGCATGTGCAAGTCATTTGGTGCGACGCTGACAGGCCCTGCCCTCAAGTGGCTCGGCAAACTTAAACCAGGTAGTATAACTAGTTTTGCTATGTTAGTTAACAAATTCTATTCCCATTTTGAAAGTAGCAGGCAGTTCGACAAGCAGACAAGCGATCTGTATCGGATCGTCCAGGGTCCTAAGGAGACCATCAGAGCTTATTGGTCCCGATTCAACAAAGAGAAAGTCTCAATCAAGAATGTCGACAATAGGACTGCCATTGAAGCCTTCCTCCGCGGACTGCATACAGACTCGGATCTGTATAAAGATATGATCAAATATCCATGTTCAACGTTCGAAGAAGTTCGGACCAGAGCCGTGGCTCAAATGCGCTTCGACGAAGATATCGCCAATCGCAGTTCCTATCCAAGTTCCAGAAGCTCGTCCGATCGGAAAGTCGCTAGCAACCCAAGAGGATCGTGGCGACATCAGCCTTACGAGGCAACAGGTAGATCACGTTCTATTAATGCTGTGCAGTTAGAAGATATCCTCGACGCCCCCCAATACCCCGAGATATCGGAATATGGCTTCGAAGTGAACATCGTAGCGGTAGTAAAAGAATTGGAGCCCTTGGGAAACAAAGTGCGTTGGCCGTCAAAGAGTAACAAGCCAGAATCAGAGAAAGATATGAGCAAATGGTGCGAGTTTCATAGCGATCATGGCCATAAGACGGAAGACTGCTATGCCTTGCGAAGAGAAGTCGCCTTCCTGCTGAAGAGAGGTAACCTCAAGCATCTACTAGGGAAAAAGAAAAGCAATGATGCAGGTCGCCGTGAGCCAGAAAAGACGACGACAGCCGGACCTCCCAAGCCCCCTGTACCTAAGGTAATAGTTAATGTTATCACTGGTGGTTCCGATATTTGTGGACTAACCTATTCTGCAGCAAAAAGGATCGCAAAGTCGACAATAGAAAATACAGATGTCCCGGACGAGATTAGAGACCCCCTGGAAAAGAAGCTAGAAGCAATGTCGATTACTTTCGATGATGACGACGTCAACAACATCAACAGAGAACATGAAGATTCTTTGGTAATTTCTTTGGTCGTCGGGAATTGTCTGCTTCGAAGGGTGCTGGTCGACGGAGGAAGCTCCGCAAATGTCCTGTTTAGAAGGGCCATGGAAGATATGGGGTTAAAGGATAGCGACATCACCAGAAGGTCGACAACTCTGGTTGGTTTCAGTGGAGAAAGCATGTCAACTCTCGGAGATATAACCCTTCCAACTTATGCAGGAGGCCTAAACCCTCAAACCAAATTCAACATCGTCGACTGCCCATCAGCCTATAACGCCATATTAGGACGGCCCTGGATTCACCGATTGAAATCCATTCCTTCCACCTACCACCAATCAATCAAATTTCCTACCCCATAGGGAGTCCAAGAAATTAAAGGGGAACCCCGCGAAGCCAAACACTGCTACAAAACAACCCTTAAACCAACCATGAGAACCGCATAGCAATTACAGCATGGCCCGACACCAGACAATCCCAACGACCTCGAAATCGACAAAATACCTTTAGACCCTGAAAAACCTGATCAAACCGATCGTGTCGGAGCCAACCTAACACCTGAACTCAAAAACAGCATATTAGCCTTTCTCCGAGAGAACAAAGACTGTTTCGCTTGGTCGCATAAAGACATGACCGGCATAGACCCGAGTATCATCTCGCATAAGCTGAACGTCGACCCAAATCATAAGCCCGTTAAGCAAAAGCGTCGGAAGTTCGCTCCGGAAAGGAATAAAATCGTCAACGACGAAGTGCAGCAGCTGATCGACACAGGAAAAATAAGAGAAGTCAAGTATCCAGATTGGCTCGCAAATGTTGTCGTCGTCAGTAAAAAGAATGGCAAGTGGAGAGTGTGCATCGATTTCACCGATCTCAATAAAGCATGCCCTAAAGATCCGTTCCCGCACATTGACGCCATGGTAGATGCAACGGCAGGTCACGAGCTCTTAACATTCATGGACGCCTACTCTGGATACAACCAGATCCTAATGCATCCCGACGATCATGAGAAGACGGCATTCATGACCGACAAAGGTATATATTGTTATAAAGTTATGCCATTTGGACTAAAAAATGCAGGTTCGACGTACCAAAGACTCGTCAATAAGATGTTCAAGGACCAGCTAGGAGTGACGATGGAGGTATACATCGACGGTATGCTGGTGAAATCTAAAAAGTCAAAGGATCACGTAGATCACCTCAGGCAGACCTTTGAGGTATTGCGAAAGTATGGTATGAAACTTAACCCTACTAAATGTTCATTTGGAGTATCCGCTGGAAAAATTTTGGGCTATGTAGTAACACAAAGGGGAATTGAAGCCAGCCCTGACCAAATCAGAGCCCTAATAAATATTCAATCCCCCTGAAATGTTAAAGAAACCCAGAAATTGACAGGACGAGTGGCAGCATTAAATCGCTTCATCTCCCGATCGTCAGACAAATGTCATTTATTTTACAAAGTTTTAAGAAAAAATAAAGGTTTTGAATGGACTGACGATCATGAGAAAGCTCTGCAAGATTTGAAAAAATACTTAATGACGCCACCCCTCCTGTCGAAACCCAAGACTAACGAGCCTTTGCAGCTCTATATTGCCGTCAGTGCTGTAGCCGTCAGCGCAGTCCTAACAAGAGAAGATGACAAAGCTGGGCAGCTTCCGGTTTACTATGTGAGTAAAACCTTGCTCCCAGCCGAGGTAAGATACACTTCCCTAGAAAAGTTAGCCCTCACTTTAAATACTTCTGTTAAAAAGCTAAGGCATTATTTTGAAACCCACCACGTAGTGGTGATGACTAATTATCCGCTTAAGTCTGTCTTAAGAAAACCAGACCTGAAAGGGCGTTTGGGTAAGTGGAGCATCTCGTTGAGCACGATGGACATCGAATACCAACCCAGAAAAGCAATTAAGTCCCAAGCTCTCGCAGATTTTGTGGCTGACTTCAGCCCCGACTTACAGGTTATAGCCGACAAAGAGCTGGAAGAAATAAATAGCGTCCAAGGCAAAGGCAAATGGATCCTATTCGTCGACGGTTCATCCAACCAACGAGGAGCAGGCTTGGGAATGGTGCTAAAGTCGCCACAAGGGGACATGATAGTAAGGTCTGTATCTTGTGATTTTAAAGCAACTAACAATGAAGCAGAATATGAAGCTTTGATTGCAGGAATGACCGTCGCTAAAGACTTAGGCGCAACATCCTTGGATGTGTACAACGATTCTCTCCTCTTCGTCAGCCAAATAACAAGTGACTTCGCAGCAAAAGATTCCAAAATGTCAGCATACCTCGACATAACCAAAGAAAAATCCAAACACTTTGATCCTTTTACCATCTCTCAAATTCCAAGAGACCAAAACGCCCAAGCCGACGCATTAGAAAACCTAGCCTCCGCCCTCAAAAAGACCGCCTTCACAAATATCCCCTTAGTCCATTTACAAAAACCATCCGTATCCTTTAAAGAAATACTACCAGTCGACGACGTTAACAACGACGACGACTGGACCAAACCTATCATAGACTACTTGACCAAAGACATCCTACCCAGTGACAAAGCAGAATCACGAAAACTAAAATACAAAGCCTCCCGATACCACATCATTGACGGAGTCCTATTCCACAAATCAGCGTCGGGGTTATCCCAAAGATGCATCCAAAAGAATGAGCAACAGTCCATCCTCAGCCATTTGCATGATGGAATATGCAGCAGTCATGTTGGAAGGAGAAGACTAGCCAGAATTGCAAAACGACAAGGATATTTTTGGCCAACGCTTCATGAAGACGCAATACAGTATGTGACCAAATGCGATAGCTGCCAGCGATTTGCCAACACCGTCCATAAGCCGTCGGAGCCTCTCCACCAGACGTTGTCTCCATGGCCCTTCATGAGGTGGGGAATGGACATCGTCGGGAAGCTACCCGCGGCGCCAGGTCAAAGAGTATATATGTTAGCACTAACCGATTTATTTTTCTAAATGGATTAAAGCAATTGCTTTGAAACAGGTGACAAACAAAGAAGTTATTACATTCATATGGACTAACATTATATGCAAGTTTGGAATTCCATCGGTGATCGTCTGTGACAATGGGTCACAGTTTATTAGCGACAAAACTCGTTCTTTTTTGCAGAAATTTCGCATAGAATTGAGGACGTTGACGCCAAGATACCCACAAGCCAATGGACAAGCTGAGTCCAGCAATAAAGTCGTCATGGAAGCCATTAAGAAAAGGCTAAAGGCAGCAAAAGACAAGTGGGCTGACGAGCTCCCAGCAGTCCTATGGGCCAACTGGACGACGCCGAGAAAAGTGACGGGGCAGACGCCTTTCTCCCTTGTCTATGGATGCGAAGCCGTTCTGCCAATCGAGGATGACTTCCCAACGTCAAGGTTCGGACTCATGACAGAGGAGAAGAATCAAGAAGAAATGGAAGATAATCTAGACGCAGTCGAAGAGCTAAGAGAAACAGCGCTAATCAAAATGGCGGCACATCAGCAAATCGTCGCTAGAAGCTTCAACAAAAACGTCAAGGCCAAAACGTTTCAATTAGGAGACTGGGTACTAAGGAAAGCATTCCAGAATACAAAGAATACGGCCGACGGAAAACTCGCCCCCCCATGGGAAGGACCATATGAAATTACTCAAGTCATCGGCAACGGTGCATATCGACTAACCGACCAGCAAGGTAACCCCGTTCCACGAAGTTGGAACGCAACCCATCTCAGAAAATACTACTTTTAGACAGACAGTCGAAAGTGTACGTCGACAAAACGGTAATGTTCAAATTAAAACACTCTGCTTACTCCATTCATTCAAATTTTTTTATTTATGACTAAGTTTACTGACTTAAGCATCGGAGGGCCGTTGGCACCAACGGTGCTTTAACCACGTTTGTTTTGCAGTACAAACAGCCGACGGGACGTTCCACTAAGGAAAAGAACGACGACGAACGACAGATACACTAGCATCCTTCACAAAGAAAGCAAAGCGTTCGTACAATCGACAATCGAAAGCACGACGAAGCCCAGGGCAACATTTGACCTTAGCGTCTGACGCCAAACACCCGATACCTGAGCCAAGAACTAGTCTTCAGGGTTCAGCGTCGACGCTGGGACGCAAGGGGAATTGGCAAACAAAGCAACGATAGGCCTAAAATCACAAAGTCTTCAACAAGGCATATTGAGTAGCTACACATCTGTATTTAAGAACGTCAATTAGTAGTTAGACATGTTGTCTCAAAAAGTTAATAAAAAGTTTTGTTTTTTGAAGCCTTTTTTCATCTTACTTATTTATTTTTCATTTTTAGTAAACAAATTTTATTACTTACTGACTTATCATTTTTGGCAAACAAACTTTAATCGCTTTCTGCCTTACATCCACAGATAACAACTTGAGCAAAAGCGAAGGAATACTTAGCATATAAAACGAAAGCAAATTGTCAAAGGAACCACTTGCCCCCAAGTGGAACAAAAGATACAAGTTACCAAATCAAAATACAAGTTCTTGAAGCAAAAGTAAAACATTGTCTAAAAACACACAAAGCAAAGTTCAAACCGTCACAAACGACGACCTTCAAGCGTCGGCCTCATTAGCAGCGAGCCCGTCGACGAACTCCTTGACAACTTCATTAGCCCGGACATTGTCATCGACAACTTCAACCCGCGGCTCCTCAGCACCGTCGACCAGTTGGTCGACAACAATAGTAGGCTGATCTTCAACAACAGACGGTTGGTCATCGGTAATCATAGGCTGATCCTCGACATACTGAACATCAACTGCAACGACCGACGAAGCAATAGTGACGGAAGGACCAAGACCTGAATCCGCGGTCGACGCCACTGCAGCGTCCTCTTCCAGCTCGTCAAGCGTCCCGCCGTTTGCAAGGAAACGGTCGATCACCTCTTGAGGACGCCATTCTGAAGCCTTTCCATCCAAAAACTACTTCATCAGCTTCGCCCTCACCTTGATATCCAATTCGGCATAGTCGTCCAGAGCGTCGTCCAACTCCTTCTGGGTCGATGACAACTCGTCTTGGACCTTCGACAAAGCCTCGTCCTTGGCAGCAATGACCCCCATCTTATCCTCCAAATGCTTAGCTTGTTCCTTCAGCTGATCCTTGAGTCTCTGAGTTTCCTCCTCCCTCGTCTTTGATTGGTCTTGTAGCTGCTTCTCCAGATCATCCACCTTTTTCTTTGTCTCGTCCAACTCCTTCTTGGTCATCTAAAACACATTGACTGCAGTTTTGCGCTGAGCCTCACTGTTCTTGGCAGCACCATCCAACCTTTGCATCTCCTTAGCTAGCCTGATCACCCTGTCCCTTAACACCAAAGAGTTTTGCAGACACTGGCCGAACACATCCCCAATTACAAGCCTTGAAGACAACAAATTGACGAGTAAAAACATAACCAAAATAAAAACTTACGTATAAGTGAACCGAAGCCGCTTCAGATGCTATGTCCAGAACGGACGATCCGGCTAACATCTCCCTAGACTTAGGAAACAGTAGTTGATTCAGGGCAGGAAACAAAGAATGTTGATCACCCTTGCGGCGATCCAGGAAGTTGGCTGGAAAGCGCATCAAGATATCAGGAGATGGGGGCTCGTCGTTAATCTTCAGCTGCTTGCGTGGAGGGGTCGCCGACAGCGTAATAGTTCCCGACTCATCGACCGTCCTCTCAAGTGGCGGAGTCAGGACAGGCTCCACCTTCTCGGCCACAGGCGCCGGCTGCTGTTCTCGAGACGCCAACCCTCGCTTCCTCCTCATTCGCAAGTCAGCCTCTTGCTGAGTCAAACTTCGACCTCGACGAGTGCCTTGAGCGGCCGATTCTGACAAAGCATTAGAAATTGTTAATTATAAAGCAATGACATAATGACGACGCAACGAAATCAAATAACTACTTACGAGTCGACATTGTTTCTTCGGAATCTTCTGCTTGGTTCGGTGTGCTCAATGGAGTACTCTGTTCTTGCCCCGCTTGATCACCCATCGCCTTCTTCTTTCGCACAAACGTTCTTGCTGAAGGATTGATGGCGAGGAACTCTTTTACCTTTGACGAAGAGGCCTCCGACGACTCAAGAAAGCCTAAGTCCAACTCTGCATTATGGGAAAAAAGAATCAAACCATTTTAGCTAAAGTCAAGCCATGAGAATACGAATACCATAGAAATACTTACCCTTCGTCGGCCATCCTTCCGTCAACCACAAACCGTCGTTACCCAACGACACCCTTTTTACAAAGAAGAACCACTTCTTCCAACCCCTGTCATTCACATCAGTATTCAAAACCAACCGTTCTCCTTTTTTGCACAGACTGACGAAACCACTTTCCGCCATCTTTATCTCATACCCCGCCGCCAAATCTTCCAAAGTAAAGGGATCCTCCCAATCTTTGGTCAATTCCAATATCACTGACAAAATTCTCCAACCAGATGGCATTAACTGTCCAGGACTAATGCCTAGAACCTCAAAAAAAGAACGAACCAGGGGTGGGAAAGGGAATTTAATCGTCGTTTCAGCAAAAGGATATCGAAAGAAAACAACAAAATCCTCAGGACAGTCTGCCACCGTCTGGCCGGGCCCCGGAATATAAGCAAAGGTAGTGCTGGGAAAACCCGTCATCTTGACGAAATCACTCGTCATGTTTGGAGCCATCAACGACTTAGACTGAGACTTTGAATTCTGCTGTGAAACAATTGTTCCTCGTTTTTCAACAACGCGAAGAGAAAACCTAGTTCTAATTTTTGGAATTTTGTTCGACATTGCACCTAAAATTGATTAATGCAAAAGGAAGTAGAGTAGATTACCTGGAAATTGAAGATGCCAAAAGTGTGAAAACGCCGCCGCACGCTGCCACCAAACCGCCAGAAAAACCTCGCAAGGAAGAGAGGAATTGGAGAGAAGAGAGTAGAAGAGGGTAGAAGTTTGGGGAAGCGCGAAGCGTGTTGCAGGTTAATAAAGAGTGAAATGACGGTTAGAGTAAGGAAGTGGGAGAAGTTGAGTAACTGCTCTGAAGAACGTGCGTGGTAAAGGACGAAAACGCCCTCTAGATAATTTGAAATTTTTTGATTATCTTATTTGTGTATATTTTTTGTCATTTTTTATTTTTTATTTCTGTCTTGCATTTTTTGTATCTTTCAAGTAATTGCCAAAAGTGAGTAGTCGTCCACGTTTTAGCAATTAGGGGCAAATTGTTATGGGTAAAAATATGCAAGACCGAGTCAACGACAGTCAACAAAGGTCAACGACGAAGACGTCTCTCGACGAAGCCATAAGATCGACGAAGCCTGTAACATCGGTAGAAGACCAAGTCAAGTAACAACCCCCTATTTCTTAGGGAAGAGATAAGCTCAGACTTAGTCCAACTTTAGCCACCCCAGTCCGTTAGAGTTCAAAACAGAAGAAAGGGAATCTCCGCAACTAACGTCCTAAAATCATGGACACGATCTCATCTCCTTGCAACGGCTAGGGTGTGACCTAGCAAGTCATCTATATAAGGGTCGTAGTAGCAGTAAGCATGGCATCAGCTCAGGCATCAAACATACACTTAAAACTTGTAAACCGATATTATTTTTTGCATAGTGAAAGTTTGGTAGATCCTCATTCTACCCGCGGTTTTTACCTTCTTTGGGTTTTCCGCGTCACCAATTCCTTGTGTCGTTTACTTGCTTTTTACTTTTCGCCTTACATTATATTTTGCTTAGTTGATCTGTAGCCTAGATTTTGATATTCAATCCCACTTAGCAAAAATTAGTATAAACAAAAGAGATTAAGGAAAATCGTACCAATGACAATGTGGAACTTCAAGAGAGAACCGAACATTTTTTAAGTCGACGCCTTGTGGTGGTTATCCCGAATTTGTTATGATTTTGCCTTTGAGATAGGACTACTTTTAATTCCACAAGCAAATTTGTTGAATAGTTATAACAAAAATGTACTTCGTAATAATTATATGTTTATATTGGAGTAAAAAAATGAAATATATTATTTTGTATATTATTTTATATTAATATTTAAATATATAATACAAAGTAAATAAAATGTAAAAGTTGATATTTTAGGAAGTTTACTTTAGCTTTTATATAAAATTAAAGTCATAATCTAAATGCAACCTTTTATTAATACTACGTATAATATTTTTTTAGAAAGTAATATGTAATTGATGTCAAATATCGAAATCTAAGACTATGACTTGAAGTAGTAGTAGACGATGGAATTTAAGTTGGGTGTGAATAAGGTGGACATAGAGGTGGGCATGGGCCGGCACGAGCCCACCAGAGGCACGGCTCGGCACTGTGGCCCACTTGTGGGCCATGGGCCGTGCCGTGAACAAATTATTGAAAAACGGGCACAACACGAACCCAGCAGCGACACGGCCCGCTAGGCACGACCCATAGCAGGCACGCGGCCCGCCAAACACGGCCCATGCAAAGTTATTGTACAATTTGTATTATCGAACCCCGTATTTCGTATAATAATATAAGGTATAAAATTAAGTTATTCACCAATTATTGTACGATTTTTAATTTTCATTATAAATTAATGTATTATAGATTTATCGTACCGACATATAATAAAATAAGTTATTATTTATCAATTTTTGAGTTATTGGCTTATCGCACTTGTTTTAATTATATGCATTGTTGCTTTTTGCTAAATAATACAAAGTAATATAATAATACAAAAACATAAACATAAATTAATAAAATTATTTAATTATACTCATTTTTAAATTTGTTCAAAAAAAAAAAAAAACTATATCGATTTTTTTAATTTTTTTTAAAAAAATGAAAAATTGAGACGGCCCGCCAAGCCGTGGGCCGTGCCGGGTGTGTCAAAAGGTGACACGCGACACTGCCCGCCATAAACTAGGCCCGGCACGAGCCACCCTAGGCACAGATAGACACAGCCCGCGGTGGCCCGACACGGCATTGGTGGACGTATGGAGAAGGGCTTATTTGCACCTACACTGTACCGCGCGCCTATTTGCCATCCCTACAAAGTACAAACAACTCATAAAATGGTGAAACCGATTTTATTCTTTCGTTTGACCCGTCAAATTATAACTGCGTGTTTGGCCCGATTAGAATGTTTAATTATACCATGATACCTACTTAAAGCTCAATTAACTACACAAGTGTAAAGCATAATCTTAACTAAATTTTCTCATTTGTACTTGTGTCTGTCAGCCTACTAAACAAGTGTAAAGTGCATACTAACCGTTCAACTATTGATCTACCACTTTGTGAAGCAGTGGTCTTGTAGATACGAGTGTAAATTATTATTATTATTATTATAAATAACTAACAAAAATTCATATACCAATAAAAACACAATATTTTACTGTACGTAATGCTCCCTTCGTTTTTAAATACTTGCTCTATTTCTCCATGTGCAGAGTTTTAAGTAAAATTGGATAAAATAATAAAATATGAAATAGTACGGTAGGTGAAAAAAAAATTGTAAAAAGCAAAAGTAGTAGAGAGAATTGGAATAGAAAAAACATAAAATTAATTAAATATGATTAATGGTCGGTCCACTAGGTGAGCCTGTGAGGGACATTAATTATATATTGTAAAAGCTTTTCAAATATAAAAATCGAGTAAGCATTTAAAAATGGCCGGAAAATAAAAGTGAATCAAGTATTTAAAAACGGAGGAAGTAACAAATAAGGTCGACCAAATTTTAATTTCTCACACATGAGTCTGACATGAATTAATCTATGTACTACTTCTCTATTCATTCTTCCTAAGTACTAACTTATTTATGACAAAAAAAGAATTTAAAGTACTTAATTAACATCTTAATTAAATATTAGTAAAAGGTAAAGAAAGCCAAGGATAAAAGATACATATGAACATATCCTTGCCAACAACAAAACATATAGAACGCAAATAAGATATAGGTAGAGGATCCACAAAATCTATACTTTTTGTAACTTTAGCCCACTATATATTCATCATTTTACACAACCACAATTCCACATCCTACTCTATCCACTCCTCCTACAACAATAATATTCTCTCTCTTTTCCTTTAGCAAAAACATCCAAAATTTAAACATGTTTTCTTCAACTTCTTTATCTTCTATTCCCCAAGAAATCATTACTAGCGTTCATTATTCTAGAAGATTACTACTTCACTCCCCATTCCACCCTTCACCACCTACAATAGAAGCACCAACACCAACCTACCAAGTCCTAGACCCGAATTCGAGCCATGCCAACCCCGGCTTTGATGCTAACATAGTCATGATCCTCGCGGTCTTGATATGTGCGTTGATATGTTCGTTTTGTATAAACGCCATCATTAGGTTTGTGATCAAGTACTCAAGTATGATTATTGGAGAGTCTAATTACCACCTAAACCATGATCAAAAGAAGAAATGTAATGGCTTAGACAAAAGAGCATTAAAGACATTTCCAGTGGTAAAATACTCAACTGAAGTGGAAATTCAAGGGCTGGGTACTGAGTGTGTGATATGTTTGTCAGAGTTTAAGGGTGGTGAAAAAGTTAGGATATTACCAAAATGCCATCATGGTTTTCATGTTAAGTGTATTGATAAATGGCTTGGTTCAAACTCCTCTTGCCCTACTTGTAGGCAATCTTTAGTTGAAACTTGTAACAAGATTATTGGTTGTGGTGATGATCATCAAACTACCTCATCGTCGGAATCATCATCGTTGTCAACAACAACAACGACGACGACAACAACATCAACAAGTGACATGGTTGTAGTGAGTATTGTGCCACTTGAAAGGGAAGATTTGGTGCGAGATTACAGGAGTGAAGTTGCTCAAAGTTAGCCAAATTCTAGTAGTACTTTTGTAGGATTTTCCTGATTTTAACAATTTTTTTAATTTATTAGTAGTGCACATGATAGATATTTCGGAGCGAGTAATTATTAATACTAGTAATTAAAAATTTTAAAGTTCTATGCTATGGCAATTTGATATGTCAGCAATTTACGTAAATCAATTGTCTATATTATTGGATTAATCCTTTTTCGAAAGCATCTTCAGTGATTAACTAAGATGGACCACTTATTACTTGACTTGTCAATTGTCATATCCACATTTCTAGCTACAAATTTTTCCAAATACGAAGTATAATTAATCTTCTCCGGTCCATTGGTAAGCTATGTACTTGTATAAGACGGGAAACATATATTAATACATACCATATGTGATCCAGTTCGTTGGATAACATTATTAAATTGGTGGAGATTCATGAATTGAATAAGTCTAGTGATCTACTCCACATATTATTAACAGATTTCATTTATGATATAATGAGATTGTGTATGTATTACTAGATTAATAGGGGGGCCGGGTTTTGCAAATTATCTAACCTTCAACATCTAAAGGGTTTTAAATTCAATCTTATTTTATTCTATTTTTGAAAAAGTGGTTAAAATTTTATTTAAGGGCACTTTTGCCAACTAGGACATATATACTCACATGGGGCCTACCCCTATGGGTTTATAACAATACAATTACAAGTGATAAAATTCCACTTAAGTTGGTCTACTTAATCATAGTGAATTAGCTAGTTGTCGAAGCTGTGCTGTAGTTTCAATCCTTTTCTCTTAAATTCTCAAATCCTCAAACAAATATCCAATTCTTCAATTTTTTTTTAATATATATATTTTAAAGTTTTTAAAAATATTTTGTTTACTTTAAATGGAGAACACTAATAAAAATTAGGACAAACTTCTCTTAAAATCTATATGTACTGTTTATAATGAACGGATAAAGATTATTTTGTAAAGTAAATATGACGATAACTAATCGGAGTAATGGAGAAATAATCGAAAATTGGTGAGCAGTTGAATCTTCTATATATTGACAATCTGACATTGAACCAAAACAAGCAAAATAATAATGATAAGATGATAAGTAAAATGTCACTTTTTAGTTGTGTTAGTTCTAGTACATGCCCAACGTGTTATTTACATGTATTAAATATCAATGTCACTCGAATTTTGTTAATAATGCATTTGTGCTTCCTAAAAGGATGATTAAAGAACAAAACTTTCTTGTACCCATTAATTTCCCCTCCATTCACAAGCTAATGCTATTTACATGCGATGTTCATTACCCTACAACTTTCTATTTTGACACTGATAGGCCATGTTATGTTAATATGTTACTCTTCCAAGTATGCATTTATCTTAAATACTACTTGGTATTACACTTTTATGAACATTTTTTTTTCTAGTTTTGAAAAGCCTACTTAATTACTATCTTGATTCTAAAATTTTTAAATACCTTTCTCTTCAGCTTAATTTCACTTTAGTTTAGTTCAATTCAGTTCCTAATTTCCTTCTCTCATAAACAATTCATTTTAGCTCTATTTAGTTTAGTTCAGTTTATTTCGGCTTCAATCAGTTTAGTTCATTTCAAGCTCAGGTTAGTAAATCAAAATAGACCCTTACTATACACAATAATGTTGTGGCCTGGATTATGTCTTCTAGAAAACATTCCCGTACATTTTGAAGATGTACACTCCTGGATTAGGGCAAACCCATAAGTTGTTTAATTTATTTAAAGTTAAAGTTAATCATTATTGATGGTTGTTAATTTGTTATTGTAGTAATTGCAACTATAGTTAATAATTTATCCATAGTTTTCTTAGACACTACAATAAGCTTATAAGCCCCCACAAATATGATTAAACATTTAAACAAACTTGATTTGGGTTAATAAGGATTTGAGATCCGCCCTACAAGTTGAAGGCATGCATCAAATAAAACAATGTATAATTGCAATTGTACCAAGAAAAGAATCGTGCTTTTGAGAAACACCATCAAAACTTTGTAATAATAATCTTGTATAATGATACTTGTTTGGATAGTTTAATGTTTCTTTTAAAAGGCCGTAAATTGAATTATTTTCTTGGCTAATCTTAGTTATTTAACCAAGTAAATTAACAAATGAAGCTTATCCAGTACTCCGTACTTATATCACTTTAATCAAGATAGTTAATATATAATTATCGGAGTATTGGTGCAAGATATTAAGCTGCTCAATATCTTGTGCACTTTTGGTACGATCGAAGTATATAAGTGCAAGATTAGATATTAAACTTTACAATAAGGGAAACAGACAAACAGTAGACAAAATGAAAATAGCACTGTACTTTTTTTTTTTTTTTTGGTTATTACTAGGGGTGGTTATTGGGCGGGTCGGTGCGGGTCATTAGCGGGGCGGGTCGGTTGCGGGTCATGATGAATATTTAGCGAGTCAGGGTCGGGTCAGGGTCAATGCGGGTCAGGGTCGAGGTAAAAGTAAAACGGGCCATTAACTTCTACTAATCTTTAAATAGCATACTAATCTTTAAATGGTATACTAATCTTTAAATAGTATACTTGTGCTCAGACAAAGATATATGCAGGATCAAAGTCTCATAAAAATCTTTCACATCAAAATAAAACCAGAAGTAGAGCCTGTGTAGAGAAAACCAGCACGCCAAAATAAGTTCACCAAGAGTACTAACCCTGTTACATCAATTGTAATATACTAGTTTCTAGATTTACGAAATACTACTAGAATGGTCTAGTTCATTGCCAACATTTTAGCAAATGTTCTCAGATACCACAAAAGAATGAAGCAGCAGTAGGAATGAAACAAGCTCTTTGGCTCTGAGTGCTTCATGAACTCAGAACAGCCTCCAGCAACAGCAGCAGCTACAAAGCACCTCCCAGCCACACCAACACAAGCAACTACAGAACCAAAAAGCCAGCAGCACACAGAAACAAGACCTGCAGCCCCCAGCAAAAAAAAAAAAAAAAAAAAAAAAAAAAAAACAGAAGTCACATTATATTCATTCAAAGTACTACATATATTAGTAGATAATATGGGCTTTGTATGAATATATAGATGGATTAATAGTATACTTTATCAAGCCTTTATTGGTTTGATTTAATTCAAGTATTTTCAAATTGTAGCTAATATAGAAATGAAAACATTCAATGGCACAAGTGCAGAAAATATGTGACATGATTAGCACACAAAATTAAGGGTTATAATCATTCATCCATGAGTTCAGATCAAACACAATTATAATCAAGCAAAAAAAACTCCCAAATTATAATTAAAAACACCAAAATAAATCAGCATTAGCAACACCAAGAACAACAGACTCATAAGTAGCAAAATTACCCACAATCCTTTTATCACTCTCCAAGCTCAAGTAAGAAGCAAAATCACCCAGAAGAAAATCCAATTTGAATTGATTTTCGATCACATCATATAACCTAAACCGGATCTTCAATCAGATATTAAAATTGAATAACAGATTAAGAGAGAGAAAATGATGTTACCTGAGACTCTGAGTGCGCGGCTTCAATGGAGAACTCTGAGTGCGCTTCAATGGAGAACTCTGAGTGCGCTTTAATGGAGAACTATGAAGTTGCGCTTCAATGGAGAACTCTGAAGTTGCGCTTCAATGGAGAACTCTGAGTGCTTTAATGGAAAACTCTGAAGTTGCGCTTCAATGGAGTACTCTGAGTGGCTTCAATGGAGGAGAGAGAAAATGGAGGAGAGAGAAAATGGAAGAGAGGTAGTAGCTGACTGCTGACCCTTACAATTATTATTGGGCTCTTTAGTTTAATTATTAAATTATTGGGCTATAAAATAAAACCCTATAAAAACCCTATAAAATAAGACCCTATAAAAGCCCTGTCCATTAAAAAATTAAAGGGTCAAAACCCTTTAGTATTAGGCCCGACCCTTTTGTCATTGGGTAGCCCTACCCAATAACCAGGCCTAGTTATTACCACTATAAGAAAATTCAAGTCTTTAAAAGATCTTATTATTACAAACACTTTTAGTAAACTAATGTTGCTTGTAACTTTTATTAAGTTGATTTAGGCTATAGTTTGTTGATATAATGCTCATTATTTTTGTATTAGCGGTACTTTAGGGAGCATGAATGTCCTTCTTAGCCATATTTTTGAAGTGTATAATTAAATTAGAGGTGGCAACTGGGTTATTTAATTTGATTTGTTTCGGTCAGGTTTATTTTGATAAGTTTTTATTATTTGTCAGAGTGTCAGGTGAGGAAACTTTCGAGTACGGGTTTGGGAAGGGTTGGACCTTTGAGCTTGTGGAATTTAGCTTAGTACATACCTTCTGAAAATAAACACCCCCAATTAGTACTTTCAAATTAAGAATAAATTAAACTTGTTAAAAAAACACACACTTGAAGAGGACTAACAAGGTGGTTGCTTAAAATATACTCCGTACTAAGTATGGTTTAGATTAACAATAGCAAGTATTCTTAATTAATGTAATTGAGCAATTGGTCTTGTATGGACCCGGTCTACAATAAATTATTGTAGACCCAAAATTTGACACTTTCAAATAATATAATCACATTCTGAATGATATAATCACTTTTTTAGATGATATAATTATCTTTTTGTGAGTCATATTTTGATCTCATATTAAACCATTTAATGAGATTATATAATTATCTTTAGGATGATAAAATTTAAAAATCATCTTTTGAATGATGTAATTTACTATTTGATAATTTTTGTAATGATAAATTCACTTTTTGAGTGATACATTTACATAATAGTTTCAAGATGATATAATCACTTTTGTAATAATATAATCACATTTCGTATGACATAATCACATTCGTATAGTATACTAGAAGGTTGGGTCTACAATAAGTTATTGTAGAGCGGGTCTATTCTAGTCTTAATAACTATTTTAACGTACTATAAATACGTCTTTTGGATTGGACATGTGGTGTAGGAATGCAAGCAAATACGAGGTGATCTTTTGCCTTTATACTCTTATTAAGCACCTTGTCGTATAATTATAACCAAACATCTTATAGTTTTATTTTATGTCAACTTGAAATTTGCAAGTCTTATCACTCACTTTCGCTTTAGTTATCTTAATAACCACTAACTGCGCGCAAGAAGCTTATCCTTACTTTTTTTTTTTTTTTGCTCATAGGTTACTTGAATTGTGACAAAATTTATCCAACCAAAATGACTCCATTCAAACCAAATAAAATGAACTCGTATTATATAAATACATTAATATAAAAAATAAAATCAAATATATC